CACTACTTTACATTGTAGCAAAGTGTAATTTCTTCAGTGTTGTCACATGAAAAGATATAATAAAATATTTACAAAAATGTGAGGGGTGTACTCACGTCTGTGAGATACTGTATATATATATATATATATATATATATGTACATATATCTGTCATATCAACATTACAACACTATCCCTTTGTTTGTGTGTCTCTCTTTCTTTTTGTCCGTTCTATGACTCTCTTATCAGCCACTCGAATAAATGGGCTATTAAAGCACTTTTACTAAATGTATCAGTTTGGCCATCGTCTCTGTGTCAAGTGTTTCATAAACAACCAAACTGGCTTTTGCTTTAGTGTTTACGTTTTTCCAGAGCCCAGAAACCATGTTCATAAAACATCACAGCATGTTTGGCTTCCTATGGGGACCAACTCAGTTTTTAGTGTCTTTTTCTCTTAGATGTTTTATAAATGCGTACCCCTGACAGATCTTGGTGTGCTTTTCCCTTACAGATCCGTGGAGGAAAGCTGATGATCTCAAACACAAGGAAGAGCGATGCAGGAATGTATGTGTGTGTCGGCACTAATATGGTTGGAGAGAAGGACAGTGACCCTGCTGAGCTTGTAGTGTTTGGTAGGTTTGTAATTCTACTTTATGCAGTATCTTTCATTTTCTCTCTATCTCTCTAACATTGATGTCTCTGGGAATTCTTTCTCCGGTAGAGCGGCCCATCTGGAGGAAAGAGGAAGGAGAACTGCCTCGGGGAAGGTGAGACTCAATCACAAGCAATAAAATGGTGGCTTCAGCAATGTGATAAAAGACAAAAATTAATTAATTAACAAAAAAAAACAATTACGAATTATTTTATATTGAATATATGCATAATGCTAGTAATAATACTACTAATAATAATAATTTTAATGTATTATATAAATATTATATAAATATAATTTGATAAAAGAATTCAATTAAAATGTTTAATATTGTATATATATATATATATCATTATTACTTAATATATTGAATTTATTATAAATGTATTATTATTATTATTATTATTTCAACACATAATAAAATAATAAAATAATAAATATAAATTCTGCATTTAAAATAACGATAGTACAGTTTTAATAATAATTTTAATGTATTAAATATAATTTTAAATAAAATAATTACATTTTGATTTAAAATATTATATATATATATATATATATATATAGCAAATCATTACTTAATATATTTTTATTTCATATTTTTATTAATTAATTTGGGAAATAGTATACGTATATAAAAGTTAAATATATGTATATAAAAGTTAAAATCTTATTGAACACCGTTAGCAGCAGATGTTAATCACACTGAAGCGTTACAGCACTAAAATCCAATATAGCGAAACTTTGCTGATACAGCTGACGGAGAACAGTGGGACTCAGTTTATAGGCAAAAACTAGACAATAACTTGTTGTGTGTGTATGTGTGTGTTTCCTGGCAGGTTTGAGATCCGTGCTGAAAACAGCCTGCGTCTTACTCAGGTGAAGGCTGAAGATGAGGGCTCGTACATCTGTTTATCGGAGAACAGCGTGGGCAAAGCCGAAGCATCCGGAACACTTCAGGTCCACGGTGAGTTACAACAACTGTGCAGATGCACAAATGCTGCTTAGCTCAGTAACTCTCTCTCAAACACACACACACACACACACACACACATACACGTCCACACAGCAGCACATCTGACGGATTTGACAATAATTCTATTATATTCTTCTCTCTGACTATAGCATCTTTCTCACATACACTCAGCTGAGTCTGAATTGTATTAGCCCGAACCCACACACCCATGCTGGCCTTGCATTTTGCTGATTACAGGAGTGAAGTGCTATGGCAACAGCCATTTCTTTATAGCTGCCAGATGCAATTAACATAATTCCATCTGGTTATGGGCACATCTTGCTTCATAAAACATGACTGTGGGCTTGGGAACATGCACGCATTAAGAATATTCCACACACTTAATAGATGTTTATAGCAGCACACTTGCTGTGAATGATTTCACCTGACAGCTGATGGAAGATGATTCAACGTGTGAGTGAAATGGAAATATTATTAGTACAGCTTTGTAGAAACATTGTAGGCTTCACTGTCAGACAGAAGGAATCTATAACATGAGTTCATTCTTGTTCATGTCATGTTGGAATTAGCATAGTTTTGAGTTTTCCAACTGCGAAACTGTTCATGTTTTTGTTGAAACTCAAAATTACTAGTTGTTATTTTGCTTTGAAAGCTCTGACTTCTACACTTTTTTATTTATTTTAATATCATGTAGAAACAACCAAAATGGCTGTATAATTGAGTTGAAAGTTGAAAGTACTTACAAATATCTATATTTTTATTGTAACCAGTGTTGCTTAGTGTGTGCTTTGATCTTCAGGATTTTGTAAAAAATAATAGATTGCAAATATAATGTCCAATAAAAAACTAAATTAATGTATTATATGTATTATATATGATTTAAGTATTTTAGTAAGTATTATACACTGAACAAAATTATAAACGCAACACTTTTGTTTTTGCCCCCATTTGTCATGAGCTGAATTCAAAGATCTAAGACTTTTTCTATGTACACAAAAGGCCTATTTCTCTCAAATATTGTTCACAAATCTGTCTAAATCTGTGTTAGTGAGCACTTCTCCTTTGCCGAGATAATCCATCCACCTCACAGGTGTGGCATATCAAGATGCTGATTAGACAGCATGATTATTGCACAGGTGTGCCTTAGGCTGGCCACAATAAAAGGCCACTCTAAAATGTGCAGTTTTACTGTATTGGGGGGTCCGAAAACCAGTCAGTATCTGGTGTGACCACCATTTGCCTCACGCAGTGCAACACATCTCCTTCGCATAGAGTTCAGGTTGTTGATTGTGGCCTGTGGAATGTTGGTCCACTCCTCTTCAATGGCTGTGCGAAGTTGCTGGATATTGGCAGGAACTGGAACACGCTGTCGTATACGCCGATCCAGAGCATCCCAAACATGCTCAATGGGTGACATGTCCGGTGAGTATGCTGGCCATGCAAGAACTGGGATGTTTTCAGCTTCCAGGAATTGTGTACAGATCCTTGCAACATGGGGCCGTGCATTATCATGCTGCAACATGAGGTCATGGTCGTGGATGAATGGCACAACAATAGGCCTCAGGATCTCGTCACGGTATCTCTGTGCATTCAAAATGCCATCAATAAAATGCACCGGTGTTCGTTGTCCATA